CTGAGGAGACTTCAAGCTGTCCTAGGAGACAATGGGAAACTCTATGTGGCGGCAGATGTAATCCCACTCTATCGAGAACTTCTTTGCTCAGCAAATATCATTACACCCAATTGGTTCGAAGTAGAGTATGTATTGTGCACTCTCAATGTCTGCGAAAACTGCACTGACTAGTACTGCAGGACGCTCGTAGACTTTAAGCTCGACTCTCTACAGGCGCTTCGCACTGCCATCTCCGTGCTCCATCAAAAATACGGTGTACCGAACGTGGTCGTATCATCCATCCCTCTAACCTCCCAAAGGGTTTCCTGGCTCCCAAACGCCCTCATTGTGCCGCGCGGCCAGGGCCAGTCTGCAGAGGGGATCAACTATGCTGATGAAGGACTGCTCTGCCTGGCTTCATCTCGTGATGGAGACGAGTCCGTGGTGCACGCCACTGTGATTCCGCAAATACGGGGCTTTTTCTCTGGGGTAGGAGACCTGTTCTCCGCGATGATTCTTGGGCACTATGACCCAAGTCCCGAACAAACCCGCAACGAGCTCGGCGCAAAATCAGGCCAATCGACAGCCCTATCCCGTGCAGTATCTAACGCAATACGAACCACCCACGCCGTTCTGCGGAAAACTGCAAGGGCCTCAGCGCTTGTACCGGGCTCATCTGAGGACGGTTTCACGGATGAGGAACTGGACACCCGCGACGAGGCACGTAGAGTGCGCAGGATGAAAGCGAGAGAGCTGAGAATCGTGCAGAGTGCAGACATCATACTGCGAGCCGGGAGAATTGACTCGGACGAAGGTTGGGATTTGGAAGAAATGTGGCATTGGGCAGATTTTTGGAGTTAGCGAGCGAACTGCAGGAATCTGAATAACATAGCTGCGTCCATATACAAGTAGGATTATGTATATATAGGTAGAATAAGTGCAGCATGGATGGAGCGTGCCCACCCCGTCAAACTAGCTTTGCTCACGCTGTCAGAGGGCTGCAGTCAACCTTGTGGATTTTAAATCCCTTGCACCCTGCTACGACCCCGCCTATCCTGCAACGAGATCACCCTTGCCATAAGTTTGCTAATCTCCATCCTCGAGCTCTAGCCCAACGACAAGAGATAAGGGTTTCATTGGAGTGTGCATCTCGCCACCCGAACCGTACAGCGAGTATACCGACGGCGAACAAAAACCGGCCTTTTACGAGCACAAGGCCTGTTTATCTTTCGTATTGTCATAACAAGCAACCTGCGACAAATTCACCTTCTTTGTCCCCGCCTCTGGTCGTCGCAGAACGTGCCATAACCGAACGCATCCATCGGCAGAGCATCTACGAGGACATCTCAACCCCTCCTTCGAGCAAGCATTTCTACCTGAAACGACATCTCCATCCTCCACTATATCGATTATTTTAACGACAACAACACCTCGTCTGCACGCCCATCGACACCCGTCCTGGTCATTAGCCGCCAGACTCGACCTATAGCCCTCATTC